TTCGTTCTTCAGCTACTCGACCACTTTCTGGTATAATTGTTGTTTATCATTTGATTTCTGCAATTTTGAGGTTATTCATTGTTGTTTTTCTTTAATTTAAACTATTTGAATGATTTTTGTTTGAATTTTGTTTCGCATTGAAGATTATTGAAGATCTAGGGTTTTTTGATTTTTTTTCATGATTTGTACTGTATTTCTGCAATTTTGAGGTTATTCATTGTTGTTTTTCTTTGATTTAAACTATTTGCATGATTTTTGTTTGAATTTTATTTCGTATTGAAGATTATTGAAGATCTAGGGTTTTTCGATTTTTTTTCATGATTTGCACTGTATTTCTGCAATTTTGAGGTTATTCATTGTTGTTTTTCTTTAATTTAAACTATTTGCATGATTTTTGTTTGAATTTTGATTCGTATTGAAGATTATTGAAGATCTAGGGTTTTTCGATTTTTTTTTTATGATTTTTCGAAGGTAATGTTTCAGATATTGTGTTTAGTTTGACATAAAAGAGAGCTGTTGAATAATGTTAATTCAATGTGTGTAGCTCTTTGCTCAACTCAATTTTATGTATAGCAACGATTTGAATAGAGAAGGCGAGATTCATATTGACGTATTCTGGAAGTGATGGTTTGCTTGAGGGTTTGTTTTCAGCTTTTTGTATAGTTATTTAATTGCACAATTTCATACATATACTACAATTTAGTCAATAATGTTGAGCCACCTCGAGTGTGAATGCACCCGAACCTCACAGCTTTCTAAACGTAAAGATATATATACAATGGATGCATACTTTCTAAATGTAAAGATGCACCATCCTTTTCTGACTCAACTAGAGCTGGAGATTAGGGAGGAGTTAAGTTAACTACTAAATAATCGAAATTCTTAGTTGTGTACTTGCATAAAAGGAATGTAAGTTGTGCACTCTGCTTGCTGCCTATTCTGCAGTCTAATTGGGCTTCTGGCCAAAATTAGTATCCTGGCATATGCTAACAAATTAAACCCATGCATCAAGAAATTTACACCTAAAACATTTTTCTTATATATCTATGAAGTGAACATGAGAGGAACAAATCCTATGAGTATTCGGAATCAGATTCTAGAAACGATTATGGTCTTTTGCTGAAGATCACACAACAAATAATCTCAGCATTGAACCAGCACAAGGTTGTACACTTGTACTTGTGCCCGTGCCATTTATGGAAGAATAGTACAAATCCCCCTTAGTTTGCACTTTTAAACCTTGAGGTCCTTGCCCATCTTTATTTGATATTCATTTGGTTTTGACAAACGAGATTTGTTGGTGTATTTGACTCATGAAGTATCATGTTGACAAACTATGGGGGCAGGTTGCAACATACAACTTTAATGTGCTATTCCCCCACCCCACCCCACCCCCAGCATAAAGGTATTGAGATGGAGGAACAATATTGGTCTATGGCTGTGTACTTGGATTTGTTCCTGTTTGTGATTCTCCCCAGCAGTTACAACTTGTGATGATCTTTAAGATTAGTCTTGCACGTGTTTGATAAGTGTTTGCTGACTTAGCTCGATAATTGATGAATTTTGTACAAGTTCTGATGATCCTTCAGATTAGTAGTCAACTACAAAAGTTTTTATTTGTAATAATGATGATTTTCTGAAATTTGGATTTTGCCTTTTTCCAACGTTGTTTATATATGCATTGCTAATAATTATTTAGTTAAGTAACTTCAAGCACCACAAAGTATATGTGAGTTTTTGTGTCAATTAATGTTTCGCTGGGTGTAACTTCTTGTTGAGAATTTGGCCAATTAATTGGTGATTGCTCTAGTGTAGTTTGAGGTTCTATGAGAACTCTTTGTAGATTTTGTATGATCATTTGTGTCATATCTTTTGAGCTATATTACTCTTTGTTCCGAGAGAGCAAGATCCTTTTTTAGGCAAAATCATTGTTAATTTGTGATTATTAGTGATGGAGTCTGTTAATTTGTGAATGGAGTCTGTTAGTTTGGTAGTCTAACCTGCATAAGCTTCTTGACCCATGCTTTTTGGCAATGGTTATGAAAGCCGAGTACCAGGATTACATCTAGCTTCTCCTTAATGGCAATCATCGTAGGTCACTATATGTTAAAATAAAGTAACTATTTTATTAATAATGTTACTATTATAAATATAAAGGACTATGTGTTCATTAATGTTAAAAATTTGACAATACAAGGGTATGAAATAAAGATTACTATTTAGGAATAAAGATCGCTATATTATGAAAAAAGGTTACTATTATAAAAAATTTAGCTAACAAAATTAAAGATTACTACATTAATCATAAAAGAAACTATATCATAATAATCAGTATTTAAAAGCCACTTCATTTGTTCTCTTAATCTCGATCTCGAGTTCTTTTCTAATGAAATCCCTCTTAGTTCTTTTTTTATATATTTAAATAAGAGTATAAGCAGCAGAGAAGTAACAATGACCTATGTTAGATATTTAGTACATTTAGTGCATATATCATTTTCAGTGTAAACTCATGTACGTTGTTTGTGAGTAGGTTAGTAGGTTCAGAATTTGTATTTTATTCACTGCTTAACTTGTATATTGTTCGATTACTTTCAGAATTTGTGTACTCGATGATGATCTCTGTCTCTGCTGTGTCTCTGCTATTTGAATTAATATTGCTCGATTTTTGAGTTTGGATACTTTGGTTACTGGCCTGCATTATGTAATTTGCAATGTTTCTGTTTTTTATGGTTTATTTATGTGATTCTCTAGTCTTAAATTTTCTGGTCATTATTGTTTCAGAAAGGTCACTATAATTTACATTTTGATTTCTTTTGTATCATAATGGTGCCAAAGGCTTGAAGAAGAAAACTAAAGCTAACAAGAAAAAGAATATTGCTATTGAAGAGGTTCATGAAGGTGCTCTTGAGCATCAAGTTTCTGCAATTATATCACCATCATCTCGTCGTAAGAGAACTCATGATGAAGCTAAAGTTGAACCTGCTGCTCTTGTTCGTCCTAAGAAGCCAAGGACTAGAACGAAGAAACCAATAGTTGAAGCTACTGAATCTGGTGGTGATGTGCCTACGTAAGTAACTTAGCTATGAAAAAGAACAAGTCGACTTTTGGTGTTCAAGCATGCATGATTTCCTACTCTAATGTGAAATTTGGAAAGCCTACCAACAATAGTGCTTTGTTAGATTCTATAATATGCCCTGTTACCAACAATATTGCTTTGTTAAATTCTATAATCTGCCCTTGAATGCATTGAGCTTACAGTATTTGTGAACTTCTCTCTCTAATACTTCATTATCATCGTACATATTATGTGAAAAATTAGCTTCTCTTTTTTTTGGAAATTTTTTTGTCAGACTGCATTGATTTTTTGATTTGTTAACTTGATGTTGATTTAATGTTGATAGCATTATTATTTCTATTTTGCAGAATGCGGCCATTTAAAACTAAATGTAGGCCTTTGCATTTGGTTGACATGATGTCTAACTTTACTCTTGATCAAAAAAATTCTGTAAATGAAATTGGTTTTGGAGGGTTGTTATCATTGATGTTGAAAAGGAATCCTACTAGTATGTATAGGTGGCTAATTGATTCTTTTGACTTTGGTAGCTGCATGTTTTCAATTGGTAATAATAAGGAGTTTGTGGTGAATGAGTATGATGTGTATGGCGTGTTTTTCCTTCCTTTGAACCCCAAAAATGTTGAGGAGATACCTAGATCTGCTAATAAAAATAATCCAGACTTTGTTTTCAAACATAATTGGAGATTGCATTTTGGGTTAACGGATGAAAATGATCAAATTCCACTTAATTTGTTAGAAGCTAGGATACCTACTTTAGGCCAAGGTGGAGATGAGTTTAAGCAACTCTTTGTTATGCATGCTATATCCACGTTTTTAGCTCGTACTTCTAACAGAACTGCCGATCTTAGGATTGTCAAGGCACTTGATGATGTTGAACAAATTAAGAATTTGAATTGGTGTAAATATGTTCTTGAAAAACTATGTGAAGGTGTTAAAAGTTACAAAAAAGGAGAAATTCAGAACTGTTGTGGTTGTGTTTTGATGTTAGAGATTATTTACTTTCATAGGTTGAAATTTAGGAATGTTGAATTAAGTACTTCTTTACCCTTAATTCAACATTGGAATGATGAGTTGATTAGGGATAGAATTAAGAAGGAAAAATTGTCTAAAAGTTTTGGGTGTGGGATTTTACTGTCTGATGTGTATCCTGTTAGTGGTAAAATGAAGTTTCTGGATGGACATGTTGTGGGTATTGCAGGGGGAAGTATGGGGAATGCTGGGGGGAGTGATAATGTTGTGAGGAATGTCGGGAGGAGTGGTGATGTGCCTGATTCCCAGGGTACAATACAGTTCATTCTCCCAGCAGGTTCGATGTCAGATCAAGAGATCCATTCGGCTGCTATTGATGTAAGGAGTAGCTGACTTTTATTCTATATTATTATTTTTATTATTTGATATGATTTAAATGTTTATACATGTTTCTTTTAATGTTTTTGCAGCCCGTTCATGAGCAATTTTTGTTCATGAAAAGAGATATGCATGTGATCTCTTCTTTTTACAATGATAAGATAAAAGAGATTCTTCTTTCACGTGGTGAGGCCAACAACTCTTATGGCTCTTCTGGTATTAATTTGTCCCAGGATGATTCGTTTTTTATGGATCCTCAAGTTCAATCTGTGATTGACGAGATCTCTGAACTTGCTATTTGGGTGACAAAATTACCTGAGGTGTTGGGTCAAATTTCTACATTTGACCACAACAAAACAAATGGAGGGAGGGAGGCAATTAGAGGCACTATCCCTGTGATTGGCTTTGAAAATATTCTTGCAAATGGAGGGTCCAGGTGTTCGTTTTCTTTGGATTGGAAATCTGATGAAAAGCTTATATTCATTTCACACTTTTTGAAGTCAAATAACAAGGAAATGAAACTATTGGATCCATTAGTCCTAGAGATTGTTGACTATTGCATTATCAATTATTCTTGTTTGGCTCCTAAGTAAGTAATCTTTTGTTTGATTGCATTGATTTTCTCTTATTAATTTATTTATGAAACACCTTTTTAATTCTTATACTCTTTGACTCAGTGAACTGTTGGTATTTTTTCACCAAAAGCATTTGATTCAAAGGCAAGAATTCTACACATTAGGAGAGCCTTCTGAAATCATGAGCAATAGTATTTTGGATTGCTGGGCGTTGCTTCTGAATGAAAATCAGAAATATTTGAAGGATGGACCTCGGAAATTGTACTTTGGTTCTTCAATTAGTGTGAGTTGTTTAATTATTTCAATGTTTATACATATTTTTACTTTTTACTGTTTTTTTTATTTGTTAAAATATTATGTAGGTTACAATAGTAGAAGCTGCTGGCAGTGATGACAATTCACAAATAATGGACAATGTTTATCAAGGTTTGGAGGAGTGGATGAAAATAGCTTGCAACAATTTTGATTTGTCAGAAGTTGAGCTGGTAATACTTTCTGTTTTTTTATGCTTTAAAACATATAGTTCCCTTTTTTTATGTTATAGATACCTTTTTTTTAATGAGAGTGACTATTGAAAATTGCATAAGTATATTTTTAAAAGAGGTCATTATAATATCAAAAATGGAATCTATATGTGTTTTTTTTATTCTGACTAATGGTGCTATTATTATTGCAGATATTTTTACCTTGTCTTTGGGGCAATCACTATTGCTTATTTGTGGTGAATTTGACTAAAGAAAAAATTCAGTTTATTGATAATCTGAATTATGATGAGGATAATCGTATCTTTTTGAAAAAGTTGTCTAGTCTCCTGGTATTACTTTCTCACTTTTCCATATCTTGACAATTAAGTTTATTGTTTATTGTTTGTATGGACTTGTTTATAGTGAGCCACATATTCTCACTCTTTTCTTGTCTAGTGTTTTGGAGTTTATTCCTGGCATTTTGTTGTTATTTGTTGCTGATCTTGTAGAATTTTACGGTTGTTATGATCCTTCCTGTTGTGATAGCAGGAGTATGGTTATCATCTGATCTGATTTTTAGAGATCGATGAGAATGAATGATTGATTATATGATGATTTATAACGGTTGATATGAGCGTTTTGGATGGTTTAGTGAGCATTGTTTACATTGATATACGGGTTACTATATTAATATACGGTTTACTATATTAATATACGGGTTACTATGTTATAACAACTCTTAATAGATCGTTTAATGCGACTGTGATCTGACTATATGCTTTTTTGCTAGTGTGATATGATCAGTACCTACTTTGATCAAAGGCTTACTCAATCTGGAGATATGGTTGGATACGCTTTGGAGTTTCCCACTTTGAATTGGAGATCTAGCAAAGATAATTCAGATTCTGGTATTTATGTTATGATGACTATGCTTTTATTCAATGGAGCTGATGAGTTTAAATGTGAAGTTGTAAAAACAGTTATGTTTCTTTCCCTTTTAAATTATTTGTTTAATTTTATTTTGATTACTTACTTTTCTAGGATTCAAATAGGAAGATTCTCTGGATTCAAATTGCTGCATCTTTGGTGTTATCTGATATGAATGAAGCTAGATCAATTATAATTGATAAGGTGGCTGAGTTCAAACCTGAGAGGCAGCGTCTTTCAAAAGAGGTTGAAGAAAGAAGAAAGAAAGTGATTGAAGAGAGGAAGAATAAGAAGAAGCCAACTGAAGACAAGAAGAAACTAAAGGGGAAGGCTTAAGATGTCAGAACATGATCTTTTGACTTAGTTATTTTTCTGATGCTAAGCAAAGTACTAAGCAAAGTACTGTGAACATTGAAGACTGGTATTAGTATTAATTCAACTTTTGTGTATGATATAGAAGAAGATTGGAAAAATATTCTTTTGTGTAAACAAGCATTTGCCAACATTTTATGAAAATGGTATATTGTTTGTTTAAAAAAAAAAGTCTTTATATTAATATACGGGTTACTATATTAATATACGGGTTACTATGTTAATGTGAAATGTTATTCTAAACTTATCTTTATAAAGGTCTTTATGTTAATATTAAAAGTAACTATGTCAATATTAGAGGTTTACATTGAAATGAAATGTCACTATATTATCATAGGTCACTATATGTTAAAATAAAGTCATTTTATTATTTATAAGGTCTTTGTTTAGTTAAAAAAGGTCACTTCGCTTTCAATATTGTATAGTGTGAAAATTAAAAACTATGTTAAATTAATGGCAATTATCGTAGGTCACTATATGTTAAAATAAAGTCACTATTTTATTAATAATGTTACTATTATAAATATAAAGGTAACTATGTCAAAATTATGGACTATATGTTCATTAATGTTAAAAAATTGACAATACAAGGGTATGAAATAAAGATTACTATTTAGGAAAAAAGACCGCTATATTGTAAAAAAAGGTTACTATTCTAAAAAATTTAGCTAAAAAAATAAAGGTTACTATATTAATCATAAAAGACACTATATCATATAATCAGTATTTAAAAGATATAAAGTTTCCAAAAATGAAATTACAAATAAAACGTAACCATATAACAATAGAGGTTCCTATGAAAAAATTTAGTGCTCTTAAGACAACATTTGATGTCTTCAGACTATCAGAGCATATACTTATTATTAATATTTGGTGTTTTGGCACCAAATTCTCTATGCTTCCTCCTCTTCCCCTTATTCATGTAGTCATAGCTTCCTGGAATCCTTTTATTTGATTGTTTTCCTTTAGTTTTTGCACGAGATGGATCCAATACTTGAACAACACTAGATGAAGTAGCTTCTGAATTCTCTTCTACACCTGTTGTGTTCTCATAATGGTTGTTAGTTGATTTCACAGCAGAAATAATCTCATCTATTTCACTTGAATCTTTTGTAAAGCTTTCTTCTAAGACTTTTCTTGCTTGTTCAAACTTGAGGCTCTTAAGGATTAGACTATAATACTTCCTCACCATGTGTAGCCGCCAGGGTGTGAAGTTGTTTAATGTCCCCTTCTTTTGCTCTGCCTCCTTTCTTGTCCAAACTTCAACCTTAGCCATTTTAGTCCACCTGAAAGATATGTATTGCTCTGGGATTTTTTCAACAGAATGCATGTGCAAGATTCTAAGGCTATGGAAGCATAACCAACCCGACTCTTCAAAATTCTTGCATGGACATTGAATTGTTTGGTTTGTTGGATCATAAGTTACTGCTTGAGTTGTGCCATCTCTGCCTTCAAGGTACACTTGGTAAACCATTTTGCCTCCATTAATAAATAGCAGTTTGGTTTGAGATCCAATGGCTAGGTTGAATTCTTCTTCAAAGTCCCTGAATAATGTATGTGTATAAACCTCAGCAGCATGTTTAAGTAAGGCAGACATCGGATAACTTGAAGTAGGAATTGATTTTGTGCTATTGAACTCATAAAAATCCTCATTCCTTCTCCAAGTCTTCACTGTCTTTTGAAATATGTCGTAGAATTCTGTCAAACTTGTCTTCTTGTTTGCTTTAAATCCCACTGCATGATTTGTGCTCTCACTTCTCTGTGACGACAAGATTCCCGCAGAAAAAAAGTCCTTACTTAGAGCTGTTGACCACTTATGCTTTAGTGAGTATAACCTCTTGAACCAACTGTTGTTTTTCAGCTTGTACTTTGTCATCATTGAATCCCAACATACTTCAAACTGAGCTTCGTTTATACAACCACTCAAGCATTTTGTGAAAGCAGCTTTGAATGTGTCATCACTCTTCAAAATTCCAAATCTTGTTACAGCATTTTGAATCAAATGCCATAGACATAGTCTATGTCTAGTGTTTGGAAATACCTGTACATTTTGATACAGTTACTATGGTTTCACAAATGGTTACTACATTTAAAATAGAGGTAACTAAATATAATTCCAGTACAAACATATTTAGATGTAGTAGTAACTAATTACCTTGGGTATTGCTGCTTCCATGGCTGCATCTTGGTCTGTAAATAGTGAGACAGGACATTTACCACCCATTGCCTTTTTGAAGGTTTCAAATAGCCACACAAATGACTCTATGGTCTCATCACCAATAAAAGAACAAGCAAACATAGTGTTCTTCCAATGGTTGTTTATTCCTACAAAGGGTGCGCAAATGAGGTTGTAACGATTCGTCCTATATGTGGTGTCAAAAACAGTGACATCCCCATATATTTTGTAATCTTCAAGCATAATAGAATCCCTCCAAAACAAGTTACAAACCCTTCCATCTGCATCCAACCTTACTCTGAAAAAGAAGTTAGGGTCTTCAGAATAAGCTTCCTGTAATTTGTCACAAACTACTTGAGAATCTCCTGCTTCAATGGCCTTTATTTTCAGCTTATAACAATAATTCATGTGGTCTTTCACTGTATGACCAATAGCATCTTCTCCTCCAGCTTCATTTGACATGTAATTAAAGGATTCCATAGGTCTTAGTCCAGATTCTTGCATGGCCTCAATCACTTGCCCTTTAATTTCAGTCATTGCACGCTCTGAACGGTGGAAATGGTTCCATTGTGGTCTAGTGAGTGGATGATTGTGCACCAACACATGCTGAACTATCTCAAATTGCCCCTCCTCATTCAATTTGGCTACTATCAAAGCATTACAATTTGTCCTTGTTATAGGAACTCTCCTACTTTGTCTTGTTTTTTTTTTTAACAAAAAACTTTCCTCTGTCAAGAGTTCTGGAATTTTTTCCTTCTTTTTACCAGAATTCCTCAGTCCAGCTGCAGAGCATACAAAGAACTTTTTGGTGATAATATCTTTAGTTCCGGTTTTGCTTGTCTGTTTTGCTTTTCTAACACTAAAACCAACTGCAGCAGCATGTTGACAATACAATTCATGTATTTCTGCAAGTGTTGCTCGAGTTTCTCCTACTAACCAACCACTAATCTCTTCATTATTATTTTCACCTGTTATTTATTTGCACCATCCATAATTATCATTTATATAAGTCAAATTGGGTATATTACAATAGCACTCTAAAGTCTACAGTACAACAGACATATCAGAAAAGCACTCTAAGATAGATCACTATACTATCAGTAAAGGCAACTATATTACTTAAAACTGGCTTTGCATGTCTCTAACTACTGTGAACCTAATTATTTTCAATCAGTATAAATTACGTACTACTGTTGCAATTATACGAATTAATACCTAATTTGATTTTCCAAACAAACAATTGTAATTGCATAATTGCTTAATACCTTGAGCTTGCATTACATGTTGATTTTCCTGCTGAACTTCATTCTCATCCTCAGCTTCAATAATAGCTTGTTCTACATCTTCAATAGCGTCATGTTCTTGAATGGGATGATGATACAAGCTTCCTGATATTTGACAAATCAAACAATGATCAGATCAATAACTATGCACAGTTTGATCAATCAAATAGATTATTAATAATTCTTACCTTCATAGTTGCTTTCAATTTGAGCTTCATTGTTCAGATCGAAATTGATGAAATTAATATCGAACTTTTCTACGGTGTCTTGTATATTTCGATTTATATCAAATTCAAGTGAATGTATAGAAGAATTTTCCATGAATTTTGCAGAAATTGATTGATTATGGAGAAATTATTAACCCTAGAATTGATGAATGTATAGAATTGATTAGAAGGAGAGAGGAAAAACTTCGAGCTCGGCGTAGATGATGAAGTTGCAGAGGAACAGAATTCATCGATTTTTTTACGGGAGTGTGTGGGCTGGGAGTGTGTGGGCTGGGAAAGAAAATCACGTGATATTTTTTAGGTCCACAATAAGTTTATTGTGGACCAGGTCCACCCAAGATTTTTTGTAAGGTAAAAAGGATCTAGAATAAGGCCCCGTCCACTTCACTTTATTTTTGCTGAACTAAAATTATTTTTACTGAACTGAAATTATTTTTGCTGAACTTAAATTATTTTTACTGAACAAAAATTAATTTTACTGAACTGAACTTATTTTTGCTGAACTAAAATTATTTTTACTGATTTTCTGTTATATTTCTTCTTTAAAGTTACTGATTTTTACTGAACTGAAATTATTTTTTACTGAACTTAACTTATTTTTGCTGAACAGAAATTATTTTTACTAAATTGAAATTATTTTTACTGAATATTATTTTTTTAAGGTGAAGTGAATATGTCCTAGCTTATCGTAAGATATTATGATATCTTATAAAGTTAGGATAGCTTATCTCTGAAAATAGAATAATTTATGTTGATGGTATGATAAATTATTATAAGTAAGCTTCACTTGAGATTTCTTGTAAAAATTTGGATTTTTTTGACAATTACCACCTACAATGTTGCTGTTTTAGCAATTACCATCTACAATTTTATTTTATTTTTTATTTTTTTTATTTTTTTGGAATTTTACCATCTACTATTTTTTAAAATATCAAAAGTTCCCACCTACTTGGCTTTTAACTGAAGCGTGATGTCATGTGAAGCCTACTAACTACCTTCTCACCCTATTTCCCTCCTTTTCTTTCTTTCTCTCCCAATTTCTCATTCCCTTATATTGTACTCCTCTCAAAATTGGTGAAAAACTTCAAATTAAATTACATATTTATGTTAATTATTTCACGATTTAAAGTTTTTTCCCAATTTTGAGAGAAGTACAATATAGGGGAATGAGAAATTGAGAGAGAAAGGAAGGGAAAAAGGGTGGAAAGGTAGTTAGTGGGCCCCACATGACGTCACATTTGAGTTGAGAGCCAAATAGATGAGAAGTTTTTATGTTTTAAAAAATAGTAGGTGGTAAAATTAAAAAAAAAAAAAAAAAATAGGCGATAATTGCTAAAATAGCACCAATTGTAGGTGGTAATTCATAAATTTTTTGAATTATAATTCATAAATACTGTATAAATTTTAATTTCATTAGCTACTCATCATTATATTAGAACAATTCACCATTCATTTTCACACAAATCACTACTTCAATGACTCTGCTCTACATTATAAAATAAATCTTATTAAAGGGTTATTTGCTGACTTGTTATGTTGGGCTTTTATACTGTATATGGAGGCAAAGAAACAAGGCAGTCTGGGATAAGTGCTCAGTGAGTCCTGAGAAGCTTATTAGAGGGTTATTTGCAGACCAGTTTCATAGAATCTCGTTTGTAATGCCTGCTAAAGTTAGTAGAAGTAAGCAAAATTGGTTTAGAGAGTTGTTTTTGTTGTAATGCATGTGTAGTTTGTTTTTGTTGTAATGCATGTGTAGTTTTTGATAGAGTGTAAAACATAATCTTCGACCTTAACCATCATCAGCTTAAGATTTTGGTTGAATTGGTTCATTAATATGGTATTAGAGTCACCTTGACATAAAAGTCACAGGTTCAAATCTCATCCACCCCCCACTTTCAAGTGGAATATTTTGCGAAGGGCCTATGCTGCATCCACATTGATTAATCTCATGTAAGAGGGCGTGATAGAGTGTAAAACATAATCCTAGGCCTCAACCATCAGCTTAATCTTTTGGTTAAGTTGGTCTTTTTACAATTTTGATGGTGGGGATAGATGAGCTGATGTTGTATGTTGGGGTGTTCAAAAATTGGTCCTGACCAGAAAATGGACCGGGGTCTCTGGGATGAGAAATTTATTTTTGCGGTGTCCGGTCCAAAACCCTATAAAAACCAGTCTTGGACCGGACCGTTTTTTGCTTAAAATTATACATAAAATCTTTAATAATGATTAAGATTATCCTTAACAAGCTTGAAAAACTTTAGTCGTATGAGATTTTTTGTACTAAACATACAAAAAAAGACATTAAAATATTGTTTTTCCTTTATTTTTTTCGAGTTTTTCATAAATTATTTAAAATTTAGAATTTTTTTTAATAAAAATTCTACAATCAATCCAAATCGATCCGGTCCGGGTTTTGACCTATTTTTTCGGTCCGGTCCGAATTTAATCCTAACTTAATCGGTCCGATTTTCAGTTCTTGAAATTCAATTTTTCGGCCTTCGGTCTGGTCTTGGACCGATGAACAGCCTAGTTGTATGTGGTCTGTTGTATGGTGCAGTTTTAACTGCTGTTTTTGTTGTTTTAATATAATTTTTTTTTTACCTTTTTTACAAAAAAAAAAAAAAAAGAAAAAAATCTTAATTCACAGCGTTACTTTATGTGGAATCTCTCTTTATGTGCAATATCCAGCATTGTGATTAATTTGAAGCAAAAGCAGTGTACAATACTCTTTTGACCTTGAAATGTATTACTGTCAAAACGGTTTGACAGTTCGGTTTCGGTTCGGTTTGAAATCGGGTTGGTTTGAAATCGGTTCAAATGTCTTACGGGTCGGTTTCAGTTCGGTTTAAATAATTATCGGTTCGATTCGGTTTCGGTTTATTCTTGAACGGTTTAAATTCGGTTCGGGTAGTAAACGGTTCGGTGCAAACGGGTTGGGCTTGTTAACGGTTCGGTGTAAACGGTTTTTATCCCGGTTTGAATTCGGTTCGGGTTGTAAACGGTTCGGGTTGTAAACGGTCCGGGTAGTAAACGGTTCGGTGCTGACGGGTTGCGGTTTGTTAATGATTTTTCTCCCGGTTAGAAACGGTTCGGTTCTTTTTTAGTTCAGTTTTATTTTAGTTCGATTTATAACTGGTTTGGTTTGTTAACGAGTTCGGTTCTTCTACGATTTAACATTATTTGGATCAGTTTTATTTTAGGTTTACTAAATTACGGTTCGGGTCTGTTTTTTATTTAAAAAAATCGGATTTTTATCGAGTCGTTCAAAATACTCCTAGTAGGAAGTGGTTTGTAAACGGTTCGAATTATAAGCGATTCGGTTCATAAACGGTTCGGTTTATAAGCGGTTTGGTTTATAATCAGTTCGATTTATAAACGGTTCGGTGCAAACGGGTTGCAGTTTGTTAACGGTTCGGTGTAAACGGTTTTTATGCCAGTTTAAACGGTTTCGGGTTAGAAATGGTTCGATTTAGATTTGGTTCGGTTCTTAAACGGTTTAACGTTTACTCGGATCGGTTCGGTTTCGGTTTTACTAACATGCGGTTCGGGTCGGTTTTCAGTTTCATAAAATCGGTTTTTAATCAGTTCGGTTCTCATTCGGATCGGTTGAAACGGTTCGGTTTCACTAGTTCGGTTCGGTTTTTGACAGTGCTATTGAAATGGATGAGTCGGATAATATGAGCGTGTACTTGGCACCTTAAATTCCCCATTGGCCCACCCCATCACATGTCAACCACAAGCTCATTAAATATCCAAATGTTACGCTATAAATTCTTAATTATACTTGGCAATAATAACATATAGTAGACAAATAATAATAATAATAATAATAAAATTCTTAATTATATGATCAAAAATAATTAGTCAACTAACTTGCTAGCTAATAGAAGTAATCCACACACCTCACATGAATCCTAGTCTACTATGAATACTCAAAGCTTCCAACACGAAACTACCATCACCAAATAAACACTTATAGAGTTAACACACAAGTACAATACTAGTACAATAGTATTATTAAAATAAGAAGTAAATCATAAAAAAATGGCTAGAGCAATGACTAGCAAGAGGATGAGAGTACTCCAAACACTCTCAATCTCGATCGCTCTTCTCATGATCCTCATCCATGCCCCGTCGGTCCGAGGGCAGGACGCCTCCGAGTGTGAGGCGGCCGCTAGTGGAGGGTGTTATGACAAGGAGAAATCCTTGAAGTTAAAAATCATAGGAATATTTACCATATTAGTAGCTAGCATGATAGGAATAGGGTTACCCTTATTTTCTACGGCTTTTCCCGCGTTACACCCCGATCGTAACGCGGCTGTTATAGTTAAAATCCTAGCCGCAGGGGTAATTTTGTCCACAGGCTTTATGCACGTGCTTTCAGATTCATGGAATAATTTAACTTCGCCCTGTTTGCCTGAAAACCCTTGGAGGATTTACCCTTGGTCTACTTTTATAGCTATGGTTACGACGGTCTTTACCATGATGATGGACACGGTTGCAAACCGCGTACTTTAAGAAGAAGGGATTGAAGAGAATGCACGCCCATTGTGGTGGTAATCACGATACCGGTGTCGGTGTTGGTATGGTACACAACATGCAGAGTCCTAGAGAAAGTGATATGGAAATGGTGGATCAAAGTCATAATAGCAATAAAGAACAAGTAGTTGTTGCACAAGAAAAAGAGACTCAGCTCTTGAGGTATCGTATTGTGGCTCAGGTATGAAACTATGAATTAGTATGTACGAGTAGTTAATAAAATTTGATTTATTCATGATCATGATTTATTAAGAAAGAAAGTTTCTTATAATATCGTTTTGACCAAGTTTTATTGATCTACTTTGAAAAGCATGAATTTCATTCATGATTCAAAACGATATAAAAAGAAAGTACACTTTTTTTGTTATAGATATATTGCACCATGTTAATAACTTTACGTTTTCTAGTCAACACACTACTTTGATAGTTAGAAATTGATGGTTGAAGGAGTGCATGTATCTAGATATTGTAAAAGTCAACATAGTGCAATATGTTTAGAATAGAGAAAGTATATCAAATGACAATAATTAACAACAGTAAAATATTACCTCCGTT